TTTTGATAGCCCAAATTGCCCGCTCTGTGGGAAAGACGAGATAATGGACAGACGTCATATGGCAAGATGTCCATCCTTGCCTGCGGACACGGAGGTCAAAAAATATTGCAGAGCTAGAACTTTGCTGATAAGACATTGTCTTTTTTTTCTTATTGTACTTTTTCTCTTTCTCTCTTTTTCTTGTGTGTGTTTTAACAATGTTTCGATCTTGTAAGAATTTGTCATTTTCTATTGCCATTGGAAATAACAAAAATTGTATGGAAATTCATTAAGTAGTATTCATTGGGATAATTTATTGAAGAAGTTTCATTTAAGAGTTTCTACAATTCCACATGTTACTGAAGATCAGGCAGATTTTCAGCGTTAATTTCTTTTCGCTTGATTTGTCATTCAATAAAATTTCTACATTTTTATCTTTGTTGTGTAAAAAAAACATTTCAAACTTTGTTGTGTAATTACATCTGAAAAAAATATAATATACCGACTTCGTATTTTATATTTATTCGAAGTTAAGTTTTACTTTTATGTTAGACTAATAAAGTGCATCATTGTTAACTTTTGTCTACATTATTTTTTTATGAGTCACACTAAAATTATACACCTCTTGATCGACACTTTACTAATTCCAGAAAAAAAATAAAAGATTTTTCTTTTCTGCAATTCTCAGCCAGACTACGATAATCCACCATAACAAGGTAGCTTCCTTTTACACACACACACACACAGAAAAAAAAGTCGGTAGGTGGAAAGAACTGCTTCCACCACAATCAATCCCCTATTTCAATCCCACAAAAGAGAGAAAGACAATCAAAAAGAAAGGCGAAAGCATCTCTCGTTCCAAATTCTCAACAACCCCTCTTTTGCAAGTCCTCTCCCTCCCCCTCTCCCAAGAAAAAGTAAAACTGAATCATCCGTGTTGGAATAAAAAAGCACAGGTACAGAGAACAGAAATGAAAGAAAGTGAAATTGGCCAAAATAAGGAATGAAAACCAATAGAGAAGCAACTGCGGGGGAGTTTATTGCGACCCTCAGGAGGGAGCAGGGGGAGATACGTGAACTGCAAGTTAAGATGTGGTCGTTGTTTGTTCGCAATCAGTCCATCCTCTGGATAAACAGGGGTGGGGAGAGTGGAGAATGGAACTCGAATTGCAGTTGAAGGGACAGTTATCGAATTTGAAGAACTTGTCCCAGAGGTAAATTAAGTGGAATAGGACAGATTGTATCTTTTATTTATTTTTTTTTAATTTGGTGTAGCATTTTTTCCGGATAACAATAAAAAGAGTTAGAAAGTTGACCTTTGGGATAAAATAATAGAAAACGTAGAGGTTTTTTGTTTTGAACATATAGGTACATACACCGCAAACAACCGGGTATATACACTGCCCGACAAAGAAAATTCAACACTATGAAGATTCGGTCATATAAATATTCAATGTTTCGGAGCTAAGGTAAACGGCATATGAACCAATAGTCGATACATATTATTGTCTATGGAGTCTTGTATTTCAAGAAGTTCTACTCATCAGTAAACACGTTTTTATCAAGCGATAACTTCACGACGACACCGAAGATCATTCAAACAATGGGACAACTTTCGCGAGGGACCAAATTATAGTCTTACAAACGGATTGTTGGCCTTACCTTAGTAACTCTACTGAAACGCATGTGATGTGTACACTTTACGCAGAATTTTGGTCAAATGAATTGATGAAAATACACTGAAGTGACAAAAGTCATGGGATACGTCTTAATATCGTGTCGACCCTCTTTTCGCCCGGCGAAGTGCAGCAATTCGACGTGGCATGGACTCAACAAGTCGTTGGATGTCTTCTGCAGTAATATTGAGCCATACTGTCTCGATAGACGTCCATAATTGTGAAAGCGTTGATGGTGCAGGATTTTGGGCACGAACAGACCTCTCGATGATGTCCCATAAATGTTCGATGGGATTCATGTCGGGCGATCTAGGTGGCCAGATCATTCGTTGGAATTGTCCAGCATGTTCTTCAAACCAATCGCGAACAGTTGTGGCCCGGGACATGGTGCATTGCCCGATATGCTCACATGCCCACGAGAGTCGCTGCAAGCGATGTCGTTCTGTCAGTAAAGGCACTCGAGTCGGTCTTCTGCTCGAATAGCCCAAGAAAACCAAATTTCTCCGCACAGTTCTAACAGACAAGTCCCTTGTACGTCCCACATTGATTTCTGCGGTTATTTGACGCAGTGTTGCTTATCTGTTAGAATTTACGACTCTTTGCAGACGTCGCCGGTCTCGGTCGTTAAGTGCAGGCGGTCGACCACTGCGCTGTCCATGGTGGGATGTTATGCCTGAAATTTCATACTCTCGGCACACTCTTGACACAGTGGATCTGGGAATGTTGAATTCCCTAACGATTTCCGAAATGGCATGACCCATGCGTCCAGCTCCAACTAACATTCCGCGTTCAAAGTCTATTAATTCCCGTCGTGCGGTCATCATCACGTCAAAACCTCTTCACATGAATAACTTGAACAGAAATGAAAGCTCTGCGAAAGCACTGCGCATTTATACCTGTTCTACGCGATGCTACTGCCATCTGAAAATTTGCATATTGCTATCCCATGACTTTTGCCACTTCAGTGTATATATAATCATGAAAAACCAAACAGAATGTACAACAGGACGCATCAGATGGATGGTTTTGCCCACAAGTCGCCCTTTACCAAGACTGCCATAGACGTCATCAGACCAAATTGAATGATTCAGAAGGTGTCGAATACGAGTCACTCCGACGATTGAATGGCACAATATGTTGTTCAGTGACTAATATAAGTTCTGTCTGTCTAATTATCGTCTTGTAGTGAGATTCTGGAGGTGTCGGAGTGACAGACACATTCCGAATATTATTGTTGAATGTCATACCATTGTGGTATATTGGTTTGTGGTGCTTTCAGACACAATATCATGTAATCCCTGGTACGCATCAGAGGATATGTTGAGCGTGACGCTGAGCATTACGCTGATCATGATGTTCGTGACGATACGTTGATAAAGCGCTGCAGCCACTTGGGCTACCTTAAATTCATCGGCGGCAAAATGGTATTTTCCAACAGGATAACGTGAGCCCATCCATGGTATCAACAAACAAGTCTTACAGCACGTCCAGTTGCTTCCTTTTCCAGCAATGTCTCTTGGTGCCTCAATGACAAAATTTGAAACGTGTTAGACTCGTCTATTTGCTCAGGCCCAGCGTCAATTGGAGAACGAACTGTGGAGAATGATTGAGAATTTATGGGTTTCCATCTATTAGGACATTCATATTAAATGAATCTGTACCTCAAAGAATTGTTGTTTGCATCGCGAAGAGATAGGGTCTTCTTCTTGCTGATGGCCCTGCATATATTTCATAGTTAAATAAAATTATCTTTTTTAAATAACCTGAATAATTACATATGCATTCCTTGTGTATCCACCTTGTGTATCAAATGGGGTGATGTTTCCCTTCAAAATCACTTTTCCACCTGGTTTGAGAAGCTCATGAATATTTGGGTAATTTTTGGTAGAACCTGAACTTTCCTTGTCTTTCAAATTAAAATCACCACTTTTGAAACTTCTTAAATCACACAATCTTCTTGAGTTGAGACGTTGTCAACTTATGTTTCCACAAGCAACTCTCATAATTTTTCTTTAATTGAACAAGAAAAACAGTACAAACTGAAAATTTTGATGATTTGGCTCGAATCTCGACCTGTTACCATACGAAATAAATGTGACACTAACTCGAAATCGTTTAATCATCAATGGCGAATTAAAAGGTACTATCATAGCAACAAAATAACATAAGAAAAAATTTAAAACTAGTTGTTTCCAGTGCCATTTCTTAAAAAAAAAGAATTATTAACAGTCCCACCTGGTACACTGGACTACAAGTGGAAAAAGTCCTTTATGAAAAAATTTCAATCAAAATACTTTAAAAAATACATTTTAACTTCCATACACAGCTCCATTCTCATCTCATCAACTCATAAATAACCGTCAGACTATAACATCTAACAATGGTGTAATATTCGACTATTCCAAATGATTCCAATGAACTCTGAAACACTAATATTATGATTGTCAATACACATCCCCCCCTTAAGGGGTAGAGAAGCTCCCGCTCATCATAATTACAGTTCATATTAAAATTCCATTCTCTCGAAGAGTGGCCACCTACACTCCTTTAGAAAGGTCGGGGAGGATTGCCAAAGGGGAGAGGTCCTTCCATTTATTATCGTCTTGGATTTTATTATATGGTCTCTGTATCTTCCTGTGCTAAACCCAATGGGTTCATGTTTTATTATGGGGAAATTAATTTTATAGGGAATTTCATCATTATTTCTGCTACGTGATAGTGATGATTTTAAATTTATTTAAGTAGTAAAAAGTCGGTCTCTAGTAGCCGTAAATATTTACCTTTATCGTTAAAATCATACTATCCTTAGGTTTCAATTTACATTACATTCAGTATTGTGTTTCTTTCATTACATTTTAACTGTGTGTAATATTTGTAACATATATTTGTATGTAACTGTATTTATTTCTGTGAATATCTATTAAACCTTCACTGATAATGAAATGTAAATGTGGTACTTTCTAAAGTGACCTTTGCCATATTTATCCTCACAAGTTATAAACAAGTCTAAGTAGAATGGTAGTTGTTTTCGAATGTTGAAGATTTTGACCTCAGTTATTCTCTGTTTGTTGTTTCTTATTCCACTTGGCTGGTCAAGCCCACGAGCCCATACGTACTCATGATTGAAGGGGAAGGAAGCAGCTTCTGTTGTGATGGAGCACTCGTAGGTAGAAGCCTGACTTTGGCTCCGTGACGCTCTTACAGTCATAGAAGACCGGGACCTACGGCTTAAAGTGGATTCCGAACCACTACAAACATCAATGGCACCGCCGGGATTCGAACCCGAAACCTGTGGCACCGAGCGCCAGAGCGTTAGACACTCGGCCATTCAGGTCCCAAATTTGCCGACGGCACGCGGTGTTCCCAGGTGGTCACCCACCCAAGTACTGACCGCGCCCAATGATGCTTGACTTCGGTGATCTAACGAGAACCGGTATATTCAGCATGGTACGGCCGTTGGCCAGTTATTCTCTAGAAAGGTAGATAAATTGTAGCTACAGCTTAGCTAATATGCATGTTACGCTGCATAAAAATTTTATACCATAAGTTTAAACGAAATAGAGTTTGAACTAAAAAGGAATTAAGAACAAGCTTCTAGGAAGTTAACACTCTCTTCCTAAGCTCATTGATCCCAACGGAATAACAATCTAGTCGCCCCAGACGTACTACTGTGTCCATAAAATAAGACCAATTTTCAATTTAAATTTCCCGGGCATATAGCATTTCAATTTTTTTCTCTTTTAGGTTGTTGGCACTGTCCTTGACATCTGTGTGAAATTTTACGTCAAAATATTCATCAGTGTTTGAGTTACGCTTGGTTTTGTGTAATGCTAAAACTGATTCCGGCGATTTTTGAAATGTCTCTTCAATCGACTCAAAACGGTGTCCCCGGAGTGGTCTTTTGAAGTTAGGGAATAGCCAAAAATAGCAAGATGCAAATCAGGTGAACACAGTGGTTGTGGAACGATATGGGTTTCATTTTTGGCTAAAAAGTCACGAAGAATCAGTGCAGTGGGAGCTGGGGCATTCAGTGTTTTCGGTACCAATCGAGATTTGACGCGTTTGAAGTCCAAAACATTTTTTAAAATTAAATTTAGAAATTCCAACCTCATCGGCAAGATCTCTAATTGTAAATCGACGGTTTGCAAGCACTAAATCTTTCAGCTTCGTCGGTTGAGGATGATGATCGATCGGAGGACTCTTCGTATTAAATGTGTTCACTGCCTTCTTTGAACTGTTTTTACCACTTCTAAACATTTCTTTCCGTTACAGGAAGGCTCACCGAATGTCTTCTGCAACATTCTATACGTTTCCGCAAACAAAATTGAATGCAAGTCCTTTGCTGAATTAATTCAGACATTTCAAAAATCGCCTGAATCAGTTTTAGCATCTCACAAAGCCAAGAGTAATTCAAACCTTAATGAATATTTTGACGTCAAATTTCCCATAAATGTCAAGGGCAGTGCCAATAACCTAAAAAAGAAAAACAATTGGAATACCATATGCCCGGGAAAGTTAACGCAAAATTTGTCCTACTTTTTGGACACAATAGTAGACCTTCATCATAGACATAAGATATGGCAGTTAGGCTGCGATGTTGGATATCAAATCCGACTCCCCTTGTTCTGAAAATCAATGACTTATTATTCGTAAAACTGCTATGGCCCCCAACTTAAAATTTTTAAGTAACCTTATTTCGGATTATTTTAATAAACTCAAAAAATAAATTATTCCAGTCAAAGTCCGAAAATCTAATATACATTATAACCCTTCATGGATATTATCAGCACTAATAACATGATTTATGATTTGATCATGATGATCACCTCATATAATGGATATTCATTTAACAAACGTATAACATTAATATCAAAATATTCTATACGTTTTATAAAATTTTAGCATGCTGTATGTCAATGGATAGTAATAAGCAATCAGTGTATTAAATACAGTGCAATCGCTATTATCCGAGTTGCCGAGTTCCCAAATTGCGAATTAAAAAAAAATTATGAGCCTTTTTTTCTATGTTGTCCAGAAAATTAAAATGAGTATGTTGTTGTTGTTGTTTCTTATCCCACGAGCCCATACGTACTCATGATTGAAGGGGAAGGAAGCAGCTTCTGTTGGGATGGGGCACCCGTAGGTAGAAGTCTGACTTTGGCTCCGTGACGCTCTTACAGTCATAGGAGACCGGGAACTGCGGCTTAAAATGGATTCCGAACCACTACAAACATCCATGGCACCGACGGGATTCGAACCCGAAACCTGTGGCACCGAGCGCCAGAGCACTAGATACTCGGCCATTCAGGTCCCAAATTTGTGAATGCCAACGGCACGCGGTGTTCCCAGGTGGTTCACCCACCCAAGTACTGACCGCGCCCAATAATGCTTGACTTCGGTGATCTAACGAGAACCGGTATATTCAGCATGGTATGGCCGTTGGCATTCAAAATGAGTATTAAAGACAGAAATAAAAAGAGAAAAACCATTGTTTCGTTTGAAAACTTGCTGAAATATCGACGGAATGAAAAATTAATTTCCGTTTTATGAAATTCTTGTTGAAGAAATTATTGTAGAGTGAATGAACAGCAATAAATTACAGTTAACTTGATAATAGATAGGGTCGTATACTACGAATAGCGGAGCAGATGACGAAAACTATGGCCCTCAGAAAAAAATTACGCTTTCCAAATATTTAAGTTTGATTGAAAAATTATGAAATATATTGTGTAACAAGAAGTGGCCACTTCTGTAATTCTGCAGTTCGAAACTCTTATCATTCAACATACAAAAGATATGAATGACTTCTTCAAATCGATAAATTCCTTCCTCATTTTTATGCAATCTTTTAAATTGTATATCTTAAAGACTATAGGAACGTATTGTAACATTAAAATTAATTGTGAGTAAACTTACATCTTATTTAGTAATGATCGTTTATTTGAGTATAGTAATACGAAAAAAATTGTCGATCTTCTGTAAATATATATACTAATTTGAATATTCTTTTATTTTTTTAATGTAAATATCTTTTATTTGAGTTTTTTGTTGGTCTGAATGGAGCTTGGTTCATACTAGCTCGAATAACTGGGACTCCATTGTAATGAAATAACATAGTTATAATACAGCTATTACGAATACTTTGGATGATACGTGTCCATATATCTATTTCCTCAGGGTTAAACACTCGTACTTTATCAGATGACTCTATTCATGTCACGACATGTCTTGTACTGGTCTAGGAACGTGTTAATGAGGCCTTCAGAAATTGAATTACTAACCCAACTATAACACCATGTATTGGAACTCTAGTAGAAACTGATTCGTAGCTGCTTTGGTGAAGGGAATTGCATGTACTATCTATAGGCAAATCTAAACCTACGGATAAACATGTACCTTGGACATATTGACAACATCCTAATCAACCAATATACGTCTTAATGATTTCCGTGTAATTTATATGTGGCTATACATATATAGAATTTGTTTGTTTGCTAATCCAATTAGCAGATGGTGTCAGTGAATGGTATGTGCCGAGGGAGAGTTTTATCCATTTGTAGGGGTAATGAACTCTGAACTTTGACCGCAGGAGAAGGGGACAGGACCCCTGAGAAGATAGTTGGAGGTCGACGAAAGAGGATAGCTGCGTGACGGAATAAGAGAATGGAAATAGTTATAAATTTCTATCTAAATAATTAATTATTGTAGTAAATATAGCTGTATATAATAGTGTGTATTTGAAAATGGCTATAAAATGAACATCCTGTTAATTCATTTGTTTTCAAATTACCCGCTAGACACCACACTATATATATATATATATATATATATATATATTATATGCTTTCACAGTATCCTGCCATGGTATATGCTATATATATAAAATATATAAATAGACTGCCTTATATATGCAACTCGTACTATCATTTTTGGGCATCAAAGAACGACAAATACTATTTAAAATATTTGACGCATGTTGTAAGTCGTGTGAAAAAAAAATGTTTTTCAGGAGAACTTTTGCAGATAACAAATATGCGTTTCAATTTCATACGAGAGAAAACTTCGAAAACTACCTCCAGTCAATCTTGACTGTAGATTGAAGACACTTACACACGTTTCTCATGATAGTCATTGAGTATCGAAGTTTCTGAGAGCAGTGACAGCAACGGACATTATCAGTGTAGCCGAATGTGAGCCCTTCTGCACTTTAAATGCGCCCATTACCATTGGACCCTGAATTGAGCGTTAGTTTTATTTAGTCACTATGATTGAAATTTTATTAAGAAATGCAAAACAAAATGTAGTTTAAATTCATTATATGTATGGCAAACGAAAAACTGATAAGCAATGAATTGTGTAATGAAGAAAATTTTTCAATGAAGACACAATTATCCAAGTCAATTTTTCGTAAATAAAAACTATGTTACCAACATATGTTCAACAGTGGGCAAATTCTTGAACAACATATATTAGTAAGCAAACGTTTCCTATGAGGAATTGAAAAATAAAAACTATATCAATATTAGAAGTTTATCATCAATTTTGATCTTAATTACCCAAATATGAAATAATAATTTGTGACATCCTTCAAATTGTACATAAGGACTGTAGGAACATATACTAGATGCTAAAATGATGGTTTTATGAGTGCATAATTTTTTTAATTTATACTGTCGATTTTTGAAGGCGTCAATGATAAATATAAGAAAACACATAATAATATGATAAAAAAAAAACGTTAAAGTTTTTCAACAGCTATCGCACAAGTCAAGAGGAACATATGCGGCTCTTGATCTTAACAAGTTTGCGCATCCATGTCGTAAAACAATCTTCAGCCGAGTGTCAAAAGGCCATTTCGGTACCGAAAAAAATCCCCAAGTAGAGAATCATCTCGTTCGCAGCCGAGCGAAAGTATCTTTTTTAAAAAGGGAGGCGTCTTGTGGGCAGCAAGATGAAAGGAGGCGAAATCTCCGGGAGGCAGCAGGGGGCTTAATCCATGCCTCTTTTTATCGCCTCTTCCCAAAAGGCGATCCCTTTGTCCACTGGAGGCGGGGATAATCCCTGGTATCGCACGGTGCAGAAAAAGGCATTCCAGGCTGCTGGTGCTGGGCTTTAAGGGATTTGGACCCACCAATGGAGGCCTCGCTTTCTGCAGGGGTGTCTTTGAGCCTTGCTGGAGCTGTGACTGACCTCCTGGACAATGCCGGACCTTTCACTGAGTTTGAAAATATGTAATAGTTTTCGATCCGGTTGGTCTGTTTTTGTTGACATTCTATTGTTGAAAAGAGTGGTTTTAGCTCTAGAAAGGTGATATTCCTTTCATAACAATAGAACCTTTATATTTTCTAATGTGGAAACTCAAAACTTCTGTGAATTGGTCGATGGGTAAATTAAATTTGTTCAACCAATTTAAATGGAAATATTTTTATGATATTTCGATGCATATAGCTACTGTCAC